GTGGCCGAGCCGAGTATAAGCGGTACATTTGTTATTACATTACATAATTATTAATAATAAATTAATATGTAAATCAAAACAACCCGAGGTATAAGTTGATATTTATAAGAATTATCAATCAATAAACAAAAACATCATAAAAGATCCATTATAGTACCTACATATTTACATTACCTACCTTTGACTTGGGTCAATTCTCGTAACTTGAGTTCTGCCTATGGTCATTACCTGAATCTAGTCGTTATAGGACACATTTTTGCGAAAACTTACTGTTTTTAACTTTAAACAAACACAAAAAATTACCTATTATCAACACAAACTTCACAATCGAATAATATACTAGACACTGATAAACAAATACACTATTTGAAAAACCGACACATATATTTTACTACTTTTACATATATTTATGCAACTTTATGTTTAAAACTAATTCCTTGTAATTTAAACGAAAACATAAACAAAGCGATCGCACATCACATGAAAACAATATGGCCGAAAACATTGGAAAGTCATTACCCATCGTAGTCAATTGAGTGTTTATTATAAAAAAATTATAGCTAAAACATTAAGGCAACCCAGTGTTTAATTATAAAAAAACAAAACGTTAATTTACATAAGTCAAATGGAATTGCATCATTGTCTTATTATTATTTTCCAATAAGAAACATTCGTTGATAATAATTTGAAACTTTGAGTAGCGGCAACTTGACGTTTCGATAACTTCCTTTTACCTTTTAAAATAATAAAGTCAACTCCTCGTTTAAAGTTTCTATAAAGCGACAACGCCTAAAAATGTTAAGATTTAATTAAAACACTTGAAACATATTTTTTTAGTATGCATAATTATAAAAAGACATTCGCATTATGTTTATATTAAGTTTTAACAAAAAATTCAATAGATGGCGCAGATTCACAAACAAAAAGTCCGGCTAGATTGAATCGTGTAATAATTTTTTGCGTTTATGAATGGTTATTCTGTGCTGTGACCATAGTCACGTGACCTTCACGCATGCGCGGTGCATTCTTTTTGTGACGTCACAACCAACAACCAAGATTTAAGGAATAGCAGCGCATGCGTGGTGCGTGCGGCGCGCATTCATTGCTTTACAAAGGCGTGCGGTCCGTGTATAGTATATGTGAATGTATATTTATGTTAGCCGTTTTTTTACAAACTTTTATTATATTATTGAATCTTAATAAACGCGTTAGTACATTTTATGTCAAGCAAAGCCTATTTGCCTATATGGACTGCACGCCACTGCGGTCAATGTATACTCCCAGGTATTTGGCATCCTGCACCCTGGACAGGACCATACAATCACAGTTAAGAAAAGAAGAACAGGTATGGGCTTTAAGAGAGTAATAAAATGGCGGCTGGAGATTGTTTCTGATAGCAAATGCGACATAAACAGTTTTCTCGATGTTAAGAGTAAGGAGACTATTGTTTAGCCACTTCATTACGGAGGACAGTGCTAGCTCAGCATTATAAAAACAGTCGTCCCAATTCTCTCCAGAAACTAACAAGGCTGTATCATCAGCATAGGTAACAATACTACAGTGTGCCAGAGGTAGTTTACACAGGTCATTTATGTAAATAAGGAACAAAGTTGGTCCCAGTATACTCCCCTGGGGAACACCGTATGCTATCCCAAGTTCATCACTAACGTACTCCCCAATTTTAACAACCTGAGTCCTGTTGTTGAGATAATCGCGGAAGATATCCAAGACGACCCCACGAACCCCCATCCCCTCCATCCTCCCCAACAAGACGGGCGCAGGGACGGTGTCAAATGCCTTAGATAAGTCAAGATGCCCAATCCTCTGCGCCTCCCATCCAGAAACCTGGCTGCTTGTTGCGAGAAAGCCAGAACAGCATCCTCAGTACTAGTATTTGCTCGAAAACCAAATTGATTGCTAGCCAAAATTTTGTTTGTGCTAAGGTAACTAACAAGGCTCTTATTTAGTATACGTTCAAGTATTTTTGAAAAGGTAGTCAGAATTGAAATAGGTCTGTAATTGTTAACCTCATCCTTGCGCCCAGACTTGTGAATTGGGAGGACCAGGGCCTTTTTAAACACGTCGGGGAAAACACCATTGGTAATAGAGAGATTACAAATGTGAGTAATGATGGGTACCAGAACTTTCCTGGAAGCTTTTATTATTCTTGCTGGTACGCCATCGTATCCCACAGCAGAGTCAGTCTTTAGATTTAAAATGATAGCCTCGACTTCCTCACATGAGACCTCCAGAAGGACCATCGACCCAACTGGTTTCAAAGGGCCTGCAAGTGAAGTGTTGGAAGGATTAGGGTTTATACTTAAAGCTAATTTTTTCCCAATGCTGGAAAAGTAATCATTAACCAGATTGAGTGAGGACACGGGAGAATCAGACAGCTTCAAAAGTTCAGAAGGGGGCGAACGATTTATCTGCATGTCAGACACCTTTTTTATCACTTCCCACGTGGCCTTGGGGTTGTTCTTTGCTTTAGAGAATTCCTCTTTTTCGTATGCTTGTTTCAGTTTATTTAAGAGAGAATTACAAAAGTTACGATATCTGGTATACGAAATTTTCAACACAACATTATTTTTGTCCTTATTTAATTTCAGGTGCATTTTATCACGATTGCGTATACAACGCAGGAGGCCAGGTGTAATCCACGGTTTCAAACATCTGCTTTTCCTAGGGAGCGTCACAGTCCGAGTAAACCTACTTACTAGCTGTGATAGATCTTCTGTAAGGGATTTTGCCGACAAATTTGGATCAGACATATCCAGTATTCGGGACCAATTGTGGTTATTGATGGCTTCAGTTATAGATTCATAGTCGAGCGTGCACTTAATTCGATGAGCATCAATGTACCGCTTCTTATTAGCAAGGAATAAAAATACCGGTTCATGATCTGTGATAGATGACTCAACAACAATCGTGGTGGCAGAAAGACTGGTTTTTAAGAGGACGTGGTCCAGGCAGTTAGAACCCCGAGTAGGCAGGTGATGAGTAGGCAAAAGTCCGTGAGAAGCGATGCACGTTAAATATTCATCAGAATTACGATCGTTGTTGCCATGTTTAATGTCGATGTTTATGTCCCCCATTACCACTACAGTTTCAGTTTGCAACTTGAGTATGTCGTTTAAACTATCTATGAAATTAGTTAAGTCCTTATAGGAGGGAGAACGATATAGTAGAATTACTGTTATTTTATCAATCTGACAAACCAAACAATTAGCGTCGATAAACTGCGGCTCAGCCACATTAGCCGCAAGGGATGACTTTACATATATGGCACAACCATCGTTTTGATTGTGGGTATTTTTGGTGTAATATGAGTTATAATCACCCAAAATAGGGAGCTGCGACATTTTATTTAGCCAGCACTCCGACAACAGAATTATATCACATTGGAAACTCATCGTCATCATAAGCGGCAACAATTGACTAAAGTTTTTATTTAAGCTACGAATATTCAAATGTAATATCTTTAGTCCGTGAGTCGGTTGTGTAATATACTGGTGACAGTTTTCGGGTGGACATCGGTATAATTTAGAAATGCTTAGGGAGTCTAGTTCGTGACACATCGAGTTAATGGTAGTCATTTTTAAAGTAGGTAAGACCGTATAAAATGTCACAAAAAACATGCCATGTTATTATTAATTTGCCAGTCTCTATTGATTGCCCCGAACGTACTGTTTCAAACAGGTTTCTTGCTATATAAAAACATTGGAAAAGTAAACAAAACAATACAGTTACGATAAAGTGTTGTGAGTTGTCGTGTAGTTTGAGTAGGTGTGTAGTAATTATTAAGTAAAAAGTTTTTGTGGTGAAATAAACAAGTTTAGAATATACAAAAATGGCTATGATTTGGCAAGCGGACTGGTAATGTCAGTTAGAAAATGTCAACCTCATCGTTCGCTTGATAAACATTAACATAACATAACATAACATCACGTCTTTTATCCCCGAAAGGGTAGGCAGAGGTGCACACAGAAGTAACACCCACTTTTCACTATTTATGTTATGAGTCCCATGTAATAGGGAGTAAGCTTATTGCTATATACCGGGCACATTTCCAGACTCCGTGCTACTACTGAGATTTATTTAAAACCCAGTAATACTTTGCCCAACCCGGGACTCGAACCCGAGACCCCTTGCCCGGCAGTCGCACTTGCGACCACTCGGCCAACGATGCAGAATTCGCTGATTTCGAACATGTTTTTAACTCATTATCGCAAAAAATGTCGCTTAGATCAATTAGCCTTTCAACAGTCGATATATAAAAATGAATTGATGTTCGTTAGATTTTTGGCTAATTTTGGTCTTGAAATGGAAGTCCAAAGAAGGTTTAAAAGGTCTACCCTCTGAGTTTGTTTCGGCATTTCTTCTCAGAGTAGTCAGTTAGGAAATGTCGGCCTTATCGTTCGCTTGATAAAATTGACGTGTAAAAGTGCTGCCTTGTAGCCTATTTGCAGAAATAAATTCACTTGTTTCAGGTGAGAATTAAATTTGTAGGTGGTACGAAGTTTGCCGGGTCTGCTAGTCTTAATATATATAAATCTCGTGTCACAATGTTTGTCCTCAATGGACTCCTAAACCACTTAATCGATTACAATAAAATTCGCACACCATGTGCAGTTCGATCCAATTAGAGAGATAGGATAGTTTAAATCTCAAATTATAGTCGCAATTTTAATTTATTGCTAATTATGTATATAGTATGTATATAGTTTATAAATAAATAAAAAAATAAATAAATAAATTATTTGTCTGTTATTATTTGACAGTCACAATTATCTGTTAACTCCAAATGATTCCAACAGATGTCGATACCTTTCGACTGGGTTGAGTAAGTAATCAATAGATGGCGCTGTCATGGGGTTTTTGTTTTAATAGAAGGAGTGTATATGTATATGCATGCATATTGCACCCGTGCGAAGCCGGGGCGGATCGCTAGTTAGTTTATAAAGTTCAAGTTTATTATACACGTCTTCTTTAATTTCCAGGTGATAGACTCGACACACGGCGACTTAGACATATCGTTTCAAATGTCGGACCCCGGCGGGCGCATGATAGTGGCTGACTACAAGAAGCCGGAGAACTCACACCGGCACACTGCCACACAAGATGGCGACTACAGATTCTGTTTCGACAACAGTTTCAGCACTTTTAGTAAGAAAACTGTAAGTGTATTGTTTATTGTTATTAAAACAAGTACTAGATACTTAGTACCTATACCTAAATTTAGGGTCATGTAAATTAAACGTGTATACAAAAATTCAACTCAATCGGTTGAATTGAAGATATCTGCTTCAAAATTCAGTTGCAAAATTCCACTTCACAGTGTGTGTGAAGTGGACTCGTATGAGGCTCCAAAAGAAGAGCTATCATTAACATATCTCATTTGAAATAAAAATCAAGGGTAACTGCGCACGGTAGGCTGCGCGACATAGCCGCGACCGCGCACGCTGCTCATGAGGAAAAACCCCTCTTTGGTTCGAAACTAGTAGAGCTTTCCTCAGTATATTTTTAGTTAATTTAGTGTCTCACGATAGTTATTATAAAAAAAACTCATTTCAGGTATTCTTCGACATGCTGATAGAGGGAGAGGATCCAGAAGAAAGGGATTATGATGATGACAAGGAGATGGAACTTGGTAAGTCTGTAAACTCACATCATCAACAATCCATAACATTAATTTAAACTTATTGATTCACCATGGTGCCAATGTTCGACAGTGGATTTGCAATACGAGCAGTCGGCCCATCACATACTCTGGGAGTGTGATCTCTGGCAATATGAACGTAACACTATGTTAGATAATTTAATTGTTTCGTCAGGTGTAGCTTATTATACGGACCTTGTGGAATCCAGAACACATTTCCGTGCGTTTAGGCGCTTTTGCCACACCTATTATTGGAAGCAAGTATAACAGCTCACACATAGGACCCACTTAGATTTTAGTCAAATTTCCGTGGTGCTTGGCGACTGGGCTTCACCCAGTTGTACAGTCTCTTTTTTGTGCATTTGGCTTAATTCATTCTGACTCCTGCAGTACATAATTAATGCCTTAAGGCATTAAGTCCGCCATTCACTGTTGTGTTGTGTGAAGAAGAAATCCTTATCCTTACTATTATAAATGGGAAAGTGAGTTTGTTTGTTTGTTTGTTTGTTCCGCTTTCACGCCGTAACTTCTAAACCGATTGCTTTGAATTTTTGCAGACGTAAAGTTAGTAGTCCGGATTAAATAATAGGGTACTTTTTATCCCGGAAAATTTTGATATTCCCGAGGGAAAACAAAAGAATTGGTACCTATAGATGGCGCTGTGTGTATTGGTGTATGTGACATAGGCTACTTTTATCCTTTTGTGACGCGAGCGAAGCCGCGGGTAAAAGCTAATAAATAAATAAATAATTCACCGACATTTGGCGCGCGTTGTCGCCTTATAATATGTCGGGCGCAATCAACAGGCTTCGTTTGACATGTCACCGATACATGTTTTGGGATATTTGTCCCTAAGTGTATCCTTGGCCTTACTTTTTTTTTGTTTTTTAACTCGTTGAGTACCGGTTTTATAGACACAATTAAAGAACAATAGGTCGCGGTCACCGGTGACCGCTTGGTGTTTGACAGTTTAAAAAAACTTTGCCTCATACTAGGTTTTTCTCCTGTATCGTGGGTGCGTTTACAATCATACAAGTTCACATACACAGGACACCCAGACTCGGAACTATCTGTAGATCACACAAAGAGTTGTTCCGTGCGGGAATTGAACCTGCGACACGATGCGCGGCGACCAGTTGCCCAGCCACCGTTGAATTTCTGATGTAACTGACAATTCATTTCTTTATTTACTTTTCTCCACAGGTAACTCAGCAGAAACATACATGATGCGAGTACGAGATATATCCGAGTCAGTGACTCGAGTTAAAGACAAAGTATCCACAGCGCGGCGATTGCAAGAACTACACTCGGCGCACGAGGCCAGAGATCGAAACCTGGCTGAGGACATGTGTTCTAGGTGAGTCGAGATTGAAATAGAGATATTTATTTATTACAACACCTTACAATATGACATCTTACAGTTTATTCCAATGCAATATGTATCACATTTCCTGATGATATGATATGAGAGGTACACAAAACTGCAATGCAATGCGGTGCGAATAGGGTAGACGACTAATTTTTATTTTAATGTCCGTCTGGTAGATTATTTAAAAACATTAGACACGTATTTTTTCTTTTCTCACAGAAACGAATAGTTTCGAAGATATATTGATTTGAAATGTCGCGTGACGTCACTTCTCAGTACATTTTATACTAAGAAATGACGTTTTAACCCCACTCCTAAACTTTGATTCGTTTTATCTAAGTATTGTTTTATTATACGACAAAATAAAAAAATACGTGTCTAATATTTTTTCATTACCTAACTTACGGACTAATTATATTTTTAATTTTCATACCCTGTCATCATCCCCATTGCTGCGATGCGATTTCGTGCGACAAGGCGTCTCCCAGGGTGACCATTCCTTCGACGACCGTCAACGTATTTTAAATTGAAAACTAGGTCGTGACATGGATCGTAACAAGAAGTGTGCACTTCTGTTATTGCTTAAGAGATACAGGAAAAGAAACAAAGAAGATTTTGGGAAGATAAGATTTTGATGCGCGATGTGAATCAATTCGCAAGTTCTTGGATGCGTAGAGGGAGGGAGCACATTTTGCAATGCGATGTCGCATCGCAGTTTTGTGTACGAGCCCTGAAATAACTGTTTTTATCTTTTTGTCTTCAAGTCCCGAGTGAATAGGTCGCGTATGTAAGCGTGCTCCGTCGTAGGACGCATCATCGTGCACCATCAGCCCAGATAGAAAAAAAAACAAACTCTTCAGCTTTATAATATAAGTATAGATAAGATTTAGTAGGGATGATGACAGTGTATGAAAATTTAAAAATGGAATTGGTCCGTCAGTTAGGTAGTGACAAAATATAAGACACGTATTTATTTATTTTGTCATACAAGAAAACAATACTTAGATAAAACGAATCAAAGTTTAGGAGTGGGGGCTAAAACGTCATTTCTACGCATAAAATGTACATAGAAGTGACGTCACGCGACATTTCAAATCAATATATCTTCGAAACTATTCGTTTCTGTGAGAAAATAAAAAATACGTGTCTAATGTTTTTAAATAATCTACCAGACGGACATTAATATAAAAATTAGTCATCTACCATATTCTAATTTGATGTTTTTGTCTTGCAGGGTCTTAAAATGGTCGATAGGCCATGTTGTGCTAATGCTACTAGTAGGAATTACACAGGTAAGCTTTTGTGTAAAATAACATAACATTTTTTTGTTTTAGTTTTTTATAAAACGTTGCCCCACACTAGGATTATCTCCTGTGTCGTGAGTGCGTTTACAAACATACAAGTTCACATACACATGACACCCAGGCTCAAAACAACAATTTGTGGATCACACAAAGTGTTGTTTCGTGCGGGAATCGAACCCGCGACACGTTGTACGGCAGCCGGTTGCCCAGCCACCGCACCAACAGTGCAGTCATTTATAACAACACTAGCTAGAATAATGACAGAATTTAGGCTTTTCAATTAATGTTAATCAAGGAATATTTTACAATAACGAATGTAGTCAGAATTAATTCAGTACTTAGTATAGGGCTCCTCCCCCGTAGATGATAGCGTGATAATATGTAGCCTATATGTTGACCCGACTTGTTAGTAATATTCACGCAGAATTTGAAGTAAATCCATGCAGTACTTTTTGAGATCATCCCGGACATACATACATACAGACAAACACAAAAATTCTATAAACCATATTTTTGGCTTTGGTATCGATTGTAGATCCCGCTCCAAGTATTCTTTTAAAAAAGTATTCGACTTTTCTACGATTTTATTATATAACATAACATCACGCCTTTTACCCCCGAAGGGGTTGGCAGAGGTGCATATTATGCCACTGTACAATGTAACACACACTTTTCACTATTTATGTTATGAGTCCCATGTTATAGGGGGTGAGTCTATATACTGGGCACAATTCCAGACTCCGTGCTAATACTGAGAATTTTTAAAAAACCCAGTAATACTTTGCCCGGTCCGGGAATCGAACCCGAGACCGCTAGCCCGGCAGTCGGCGCTTCGAGCCGGATCCCCGGTAACCCGTTAGGTTCTCTGGATTTGAGTGTTGCATTGTTCTCACACAATCGAACCAATAAAACTATGTAACTAGAGAATTGTATTGTGAACCTGATTGAACAAGAGTAACCTATGGAGTTTCTTGCTCGTTCTTCTACATAGGAATCTACGCCTTGGAACGAGCAAATAGCTTCACTTCTAAATTGTTGTAGTTTGACGTTCAAAAGTGCTATCCTGGTCTAATTGAAACAAATCATTTTGACTTTGAATTTGACTTCTCCGCGGCTCCGTATAGGCATCAGCCCTATTGGGCCCCATCCGTGGTACATAGTGAATAATTAGCGTGATGATTTGTAGAAGATATTATTGTTCTTAAGATGTTTTGTATGGGGAGCGTAAATGATACACGGACAAGAGTATAGAATGGATGCTATATTGCGTCTAAAACACTTTTACAATAGCAGGCGCAGCTGCACATGGGCACACTTATATAATAAAATACATTACATAGCCATTGACTGCCTCGTTGACCGAGTGGTCGCAAGTGCGACTGCCGGGCAAGGGGTCTCGGGTTCGATTCCCGGGTCGGGCAAAGAATTACTGGGTTTTAAAAAAATTCTCAGTAGTAGCACGGAGTCTGGAATTGTGTCCGGTATATGGCAATAGGCTCACCCCCTATTACATGGGACTCATAACATAAATAGTGAAAAGTGGGTGTTACATTGTACAGTGGTATAATGTGCACCTCTGCCTACCCCTTCGGGGATATAAGGCGTGATGTTATGTTATTACATTGCATGTTATTACATGCGTCACCAATGTACTTGTGTCCCTACAGATTCAACCAACCTCGTGTAATAATTAACCATTTTCATTTCCAGGTAATATTTGTAAAAAGTCTGTTCGAAGATACGAGAAATTATAGAAAATTAGTCCCTGGATTCTCATCATGATGGCCGCAGTGATGATCTCGCTATCATAGGTATGAATATGAACAATAATGAAAGGTAATCATTAATCAGAAAATACAAGGTGTATACTTATACACGGAATTTTTATTCGATTTCGGATTTGACAATTTCAGTGTTGCAACGTTATGATAAGTACTAAATAGTGACGTTGCAAAATTATTCGATAATGGAAATGGAATATTTCTGGATCGATTCCTCTCGTTTATAATTTTACTCTCGTAAACTAAGTATGTCAGGAAATTAAATATTTCTGACCGATAATTTAGTTTTGACGATTAATTAACGATCTGAGACTTTAATTTTATAATTGTGTGTGTAATAAATAAAAAAATGTAATCATGAAGGAATATGACAAATAAAACAGATAGATGTATTATGGTAATAATTTATTTTATAAATTGTCGCCGTCATCGCTATCGCTATCCTGTCACTTTCTGTAACATTTATTATAAAACACACACACTGATTGTTTATCGATTTTTGTGTTCATCACTACACTATTATTTCACAAAATGACAGTAGCTAATCAAATCTGGAATCGAATTAAAATTCTGACTATAGTTTTGAAGCTGTGACATTTCTCGGGGGCATGTCACAGAAGTCATAAAGGTACAATGTAAGAGAAAATTTCGGGCCAATAGTTAAAAATACGGCTATAATAAATCGTTTAAGTTCGACAGTAATTTAGAATAAGCGACAGCAATGTTTCTTTTTGGAGTTTTATGGAATTAAGAATAATGGGTTATTTAATGGAATTAAGAGTAATTAAAAATTACGTGTTTGAGTTTGTGTGCGTTAAGCCGCGTTATGAAGCTAGTTACAAGACGGCGGCGTGTAGTTCGCACTTACGGATTTCCGTATTTTACAGAAAAATTAAAAATATTTACCTACAACTAGCGCAATTTGATGAGAAAAAATACTGTAGGCCTCATTGGATTCAAGAGTAAGCCCCCCATTGGTTTCCTCACGATGTTTTCTTTAACTGTATATCACAAAAAGTATTTTATTTATTTATTTTCAGCCATGATCGTCCCACTGCAGGGCAAAGGCCTCCCTACCCTCCTTCCACTCCTCTCTATATAAAGCTTTTTGCGGCCAATCCTTGTCATAGATGTCCAATTCGTCCCTCCATCTCCTTCTGGGCCTGCCGCGACGTCTACTGACGTTGAGTGGGCTCCACTCAGTAGTAAGTTTTGCCCACCGCTCGTCTGACATGCGGCAGACATGACCAACCCAGTTCCACTTCAAGCCTACAGCTTTATGGCTAACGTCAACGATTTTAGTTGTGGATCGCAGCGTGGTGTTCCTAATTCTGTCCGATAGTCGAACTCCTAAGAGAGCATTCAAGTATTATGTGACGCAATTTGGGGGGAGGGGTCTCGTATAACGTTATGATGCGTTACAGAGGCATTTCTAACATGTATTACTTTATTTATTTTTTTATTTATTTATTTAAGGGACAAAAAACAGTTACATATTAAGATTTTACATTAAACAACAACTACAATAAATATGTAACCCACACCATTGCCCACAATTTGGTATAAAGTATAACGGCAATAATGACCGTGTTGCGGTAGTGTTATCATAATTTATTTAAATTAAAGTTTACTAAATATAATTAATACATAAAAGGACTGCACTTATGATTAAGAAAAACGTATTTTTACATTTACATAATCACGTAACATTGTTTCTTTCTTTATATAAAAAATTAGGGAATTTAAACTCCCAAATTGGCAACCCTTTTCGTTTACGTTTTACGGGGAATCCCTCGATTGTATTAGTCCGGTCGTCATTTTTAATTTGTACTCGCAAAAAATGTTTAATTTCAGTTGGGTTTCTGTTTACAATTGCATTGCCAATTATATTAAAATAAATATGTTCTTTACGTAATACTTGAATGCTCCCTAAGATATTACACTCCATGGCCCGCATAATGTAACTATATCTAACTAATCCATAAAAAGTATATTAACTAATAATCGTGGGTTACTCACGTGTATATACTGAGAAAAGCTCTACTAGTTTCGAACCACAGAGGGGTTCTTCCTCATGAGCAGCGTGCGCGGTCGCGGCGATGTCGCGCAGCCTAAAGCAGTAGGCTTTTCTCATTATATTATTATATTCACATGAGTAACCCGCGATTTTTACACGATTTTATTTAATTTAATATGTCTCACGATAGTTATAATAGAAAGAGTATATTTATGAATAAAAAATCTTGGCATAATTTTAATATAAATAATTTTACTAGACATAATGGCTGCTAAATAGGTTTATATTTTTTAACATACATACATATCTATGAACATGTTATGCGTGGAAATTGAATTAATTATTATGTTTTTGGTTTCTCATGTAGCTATTGGACGAGGAACTCGACTAGTTTCGAATGCTAAGGCCTTAGTACCAATTTGTAACATAACATAACATAACATCACGCCTTTTATCCCCGAAGGGGTAGGCAGAGGTGCACATAGAAGTAACACCCACTTTTCACTATTTATGTTATGAGTCCCATGTAATAGGGGGTGAGACTATTGCCATATACCGGGCACATTTCCAGACTCCGTGCTACTACTGAGATTTTTAAAAAACCCAGTAATACTTTGCCCGACCCGGGAATCGAACCCGAGACCCCTTGCCCGGCAGTCGCACTTGCGACAACTCGGCCAACGAGGCAGTAGTACCAATTTGTTTCGCGTTAAAAGTAATCGACACGGGACCCCGTTCGGCGCTCTGATTGGCTACAATGAACCAACCAATCAGTATCTCCTACAAGCTACTCTACTCATGAATATGATCCTCTAGCATGGCTTGCAACTGTTTCGATGAAAAATATTTTTTTGTGTGGAATACGGTAGTTGACATGTAGTCAAATTCAATACTTTTATTGAAATGTCGAAAACGATACTTTTCTATGAATTTTATTGTATTGGATCGCAACTTATGACGTCATCATATTTCTGCGTCAAACAGCATAGGTACTTATTTCTTTAAAATTTGCGTGAAAACATCCAAAAGTAGGTAAATTGTCAAATCAATGTATGAGAGTATGATTATTTTTTTGATTATTTATTGCATTGAATAGTTGAAACAATTTATTTCAAACCTAGGAAATTAGCCAATTTAAGGAATAATGTTCCGAGTGATATACCATTTTAGAATCCTTATTAAATGCGCCAACTTTAGTGAAATTTGCCACTACTAGAACAGTACAATGTTTTTCCAGTACAGTCATTTAAAGTAAGGTGAAAAGTTTATTAAGAACACTTAGTTTTGTCAAAAATGACATCCTTTTTCAAACTAAAGCAATTGGCCCAGAACTTATGATTCCATAATACTGAAGCACTACGGTTTCGGTGCTCTGAATGGCCGCCTTAAATAAACCAACCAATCAGAGTCTCCTACTAATCCTGACTCATAAATATGAGCCTCTAGTATGGCTTGAAACTAGTCGAGTTCCTCGTCAAAGTAAGACGAAAAACATAATAATTATAACAAAACCAGTAAAATGCGTTGACCTACACAAGGAATGAGGGAGATACCATATATTTTTAAGTGGTAGATAGATGCATAAATTACCTGCACAAAATATTAAAAATTGTAATTGGCGAGGTAATAACGACAGATCAATTGCTAAAGGTGATGTCGGATGGTTCACTTGAATAAACATTCACCCCAGTGAATGGTTTATTTGCGTGCAACGTATAGCGTGTAACTTTAAAATCTGTTAAAAAAATCACGACTTAGCGACCGAATTATGTCGTTACCTTAGTCCTGACTATCGGTCCTTAGTACTATGTAGATTAAAATTAAAAAATAAATAATGTAAATATTAAAAATGAAAGTATTAGATTATGATATTATTATTTCATCGTCACAAAAAACATAAGTTTCCTATTTATTTGTTATAATATAATTAGTATGAATTAGCGACCAGTTTCATTATGTCATTGTCCAGTAGATAAATAAATGAAGTCTACACTTGGAGCAACGAAACGCAGCCACTAGCATTTCTTTTTTCATTTTATCAAAGCCTATATAACATTAAAAAAATATTCCGTTTATAACAAAATGTTCTCATTGTAAAGGTAGGTAACTAAATTGTCTTTTATACAACACTAGCTTTTACCCGCGGCTTCGCTCGCGTCACAAATGGATAAAAAGTAGCCTATGTGACATATACCAATACATACAGCGCCATCTATACCAATACTTTTGTTTTCCCTCGGGAATATCATTTTTTTCCGGGATAAAAAGTACCCTATTATTTAATCCCGGTTTCTAACTTTACGTCTGCAAAAATACAAATCAATCGGTTGAGTAGTTACGGCGTGAAGGTGGAACAAACAAACAAACAAACAAACTCACTTTCAGATTTATAATATTAGTAAGGATAGTAAGGATACGTTACCAATCAATAAAATATTTGTCAAGAAAATAAAAAAAAATGCTAGTGGCTCCGTTTTTTTGTTTCTATATGTACTTATGTTATTTAATTGTCAGATAAACACATCAGAGGCCATAAGGCTCGTACACAAAACTGCGCGAATTCACAACGCAAAAAATTACGATGCTACTTGCTGCGATGCGATTTCGTGCGACAAGGCGTCTCCCAGGGTGACCATTCCTTCGACGAACGTCAACCGTACTAAACGTATTTTAAATTAGAAACTAGGTCGTGACATGGATCGTAACAAGAAGTGTGCACTTCTGTTATTGCTTAGGAGATGAAGGAAAAAGAAACAAAGAAGATTTTGGGAAGATGAGATTTTGATGCGCGATGCGAATCAATTCGCAAGTTCTTGCGATGCGTAGAGGGAGCTCGCACATTTTTATAATGCGACGTCGCATCGCAGTTTTGTGTACGAGCCCTAAAAGAGTATGTGATTTCATTCGCAATAAGTAAAAAAAACACCTCGTGAATTTTGTTTTGCTGTGCGGACAGGCTCTTATAGTAGCTCGCTATCATAATT